GTGGCGGGGGGAGGGGGTGGCGGCGCAGGTGTCAAGTAATTTTTGGTTAAATTACCTCATTTTTGATGCATAAATCAGGAGGAGTTTAATAACTCTAGGTGTCTAAAATATTTACGTGAAATAAAGTTTAAGATGGGGAGTGTTGTTTATATGGATCACAAATGAAATAGTGCTAAGTCAGATTCATATTTTTAACCAGGGAAAATAATGCTGGTAGCATTTACATATTACTGCTGCACCTCTTTCAGCCTAATTTATTTAGCCCGTTCTTTTTTCTGATGTCCTCCTATTTTTGTACTTGGTTGTAATTTTTTTCACTAGCTGGAATCCCTGATGATATATGAGAGTTTATTTGAACAGGGAGTGTACATATGTGTTAGAAGTAGGTGACTTATTCAGGAAATACATAGTGAAAGAGGATGATTTAATTTAACAAGTCTTAGTCTTTTTATGTATCATTTTCATTGTAACTTCAGACTGTTCCATTGTACAGAAAATAGCACATTGGAGGTGAAAAGCTTAGAAGAAATGTGTGTGCCAAATGTCTTTAACTGAGTTTAGGAAGAAACAAACCTTTTAAAAACATAAAAAAATGAAAGTGGATAACTTGAAAGAAGGAAAGAAAATATCCTAATCTAGGGAACAGTGATGGGTCATTAATGACTTGCTCCATCTGCCGCTGAAGTAAATGGAAAAACTCTTCATGCAGCTGGAATTGAATTGAGTCCTTAGTTTTTATTCTTAAAACATGTGTCCAAAAGGTTTCCTTCAAGTTTTATTTATGGTCTCTTAAAGCAATGGCTGTGGAATTACTCCTCTTCAGATTTAGGTCAACTTTCCAAAGAACCACTTCCTTCAAAGACAGAGTATGTGTCTTGTTCTTTCTCAGTTTGAAACCTGCTTACTGAGCAATTTTCTCCTTCTAGGATCAAACACTTACGAAGAAGCAGCTGCTTACATTCAGTGTCAGTTTGAAGATCTGAACAAGAGAAAAGACACGAAGGAAATCTACACTCACTTCACATGTGCCACAGACACAAAAAATGTGCAGTTTGTTTTCGATGCTGTAACTGATGTCATTATTAAAAATAACCTTAAAGACTGTGGTCTCTTCTGAGAACAGACAAAAGGTTGTTAAATGGTAAATTACGTGCCTGAAAACAGGATTTAGACATTTGGAATATGCCCATGCTGTGTAAAACCTGCATAGATATACTTAATTCTCTTTTATTTTATTTCTAGGTTTGGAGAACGACTTCGCACAATTCTAATCTGATTCTTTTCAAGGTGAAAGAAATGCAAAATACATTGTGCTGAATGATAGATCAGTACTGTACTTGCCTGTTTTAACAGCTTTATTTATGTTTGTCTTGTAAATTTAAGTAATTAGTTAACACTGAGATGTCAGTTGATTGTATGTAAACTTATAATGTAGTAATGTATTTGTATAAATGTTGAACGGAGTATTTTAGTAACTTGATGTCCTCTAAAATTTCCATGTTTTATGAAGATACTCTTAGAGGAGACAGACACTTTTTGCCTTTGGATTATTTAAACATCTTGTAAAATTAAATTCTCTCTTCATCTTAAGGGTGCATGCTGCCTTATTCTTTACTTTTGTTGGTAATACTCTATATGGTGTTAGCTTTTTTGATATTTAAACAGCCTCGTACACCTGCTCAGATTTAAAGAAACATAACCAATAAAACTTGTTTTTGCCTTAAGTTTTGAAAAAAATCTTTTTATAAATTTAAGATAAATGCAAAGATTATTTTTTAAATTTAAATGAAATCCACAATTTATGAAATCTGGGCTTGCAGTCTTTGCAGTGCAAGTGTGGCAACACTATGAAATTGAATTTTAAGGTTCAGCTATAATTGAAGCTGATGGAAATGCAAAAACAAAGTTGTTAAAACCATTCACACCAATAAAAAAAATAGTTTGAAGCTGGTCTTCACTCAGCGGAGTGAACGGCAAAATTACCTTTGGGGTTTTGTTTTTATAGACCGTTAACAAAGGCTAGACTTAAGAGTAATATTTTTTTCTGCTTACTTAAGAAGTAAAATCATGTTCTCCTTAAACTTTTTGCTATTTTCTAGTAATAAAACTAGTTTGATAATTTAATAACCATAATAGAAATATCAAGTTCTCCCACAAGACATGGCACAGTGGCTTCACAGGTTAAAGCAATGTCCTGTTGCAAATAAAAAGAGTCTTCAGGATTTTGGATAGGGTGTTTTAGTGACTTGCAAATGCTAATTCTTTAATTTCCTCTTTAATTATAATTAAAGATTCACAGTTTGTTTAAATAATAAGTTGAAGAATATGATTTTCTTCTGGTTATGCTTTCATTATGTGATTTGCTATCTTAGGTACATATCATCCATTGCCTTATGGGTAGTGCCAAAACTGATTTTTTTATACAGATTTTAAAATGAATAAGCTTCTATTTGTAAATAAGTTCATGAATGGTTGTCTTAAATGTATGTCATCTAGAAAATAGAAACATACCAAACTTGGAAATATGATTTTCTATAATTGTTAAAATATTTCAGGCAGCTACAGTACACCATAAGTTCTTTGAGAAGTAAATAAGTCTTTGAACCTGTTGCTATTTTTCTGTATTATCTTAGCATTTATGTTCTTAGAAATGTTCAAGCAAAATATTTAAGTCATTGTTCTGTTATTTAATTTTTGATTGTCTATGTGTTTCCTTTAGGCCTTAGCTTGTGTAAAACTTGTCTGCACTTTTTGTTCTTTAATGCTTCCTTTGTTAGGTACAGAATTGCTAAATGCGTTTCAAATGAAAGATTAGAAAGGCGATAACTTACTACTGGAGGTTGTTAAATATATTCATACATTATGAGCTCTTTCAGCAGTTATGGTAAGCAATCTGCATATCCTGGGCTGCTTTTAATTGTGCTTTACAGTTCTGGATACATAACTGATTTTAAATCTCATTGAACTACTTTGTGGAAATTGTATTTACACCTACATTCAAGTTAGTTTTTGTACTTAATGTAAAACAAAAATTGGGATTAATCAAATTACATAAATAAATCTAAATTTTGTGCCTTGCTTGAAAGAAATGTTTTTCATTAAATGTGCTGATGGAAATCTTTTTGCATTCATTCTGTGGAGTTAACTAGGTAGTAAAAGTGAGAAGATATGAAGTCAAGACTAAATTAAAAAACTTTATGCAAGAAACAGTAAAATGAAAATGGGCATAAATTGATGATTATTGGTTGATTCCTAAATATTTTTCCTTTACCATTGTTCCTAACACCTTCAATTGGAGAATTTCTGGAATTTCTTTTCTGAAGTATTTACATCTTAACACAGAACAAAATTGTGAAATACTTCTGCTTGCAGATGAGCTTGTCTTCTCTGACTTGATGAGTGGACAGCAGGTATGTTTCCTTATCGATGCTCTATACTGGTTGATCAATCTTTGTCCTGAGATGAAAGTTGTCAACCTAGGCCACTGCTTTAGGAAAAGCTACAAGAGGATTTACGTTGAATAGTGGGAGCCACACTTAGTTTTCACTGCAGTTGTGATAAGGCTTCACTCCATCTCTGTTCTGTCAGGAGGTTGCTTCTCAGTCAGAGAAATGGAGGAAATCCTTCAGGTCTGCAGCTGTCTGAGAAGGACAGTCTTGTCTGTCAGCAGTCTGAGCCTCCGTTCTCTTCCAGTTCTCCATTCCTCTCGTTTCTTCATGCAAAGTATCCAGGCAGACTGCTTTTTCTAGCCTTACACAAGGAAGCTCCTCTACTAGTTTACATATTCCTTCAGACTATTTAAAATATTCTACATTTAGTATATGTAGGGAATTAAAACCTTATAGAGGCTTCTTCAGCCCCTGTGGTCTTGTGAGCATATTGTCTGTGGTTGAAGTCTCTCAGTAAAATGTAGCTATCCTTAAACATGCAGTTATTTTTAAGGGGCTTAACTGGGAGGAAGTGTGGTTTGGAAAATTTGGTATTTGGCTTCATGATGCTACCTATTGAATTTGGAGGAAGTTTGATGTTAAATGTAGTAACTTGGTAACTAAAACAGGGTCCAGGATCACAGCATGGGAACAGCGTAGCATTTGCTAGATTGCAATTTCTGTTTCCATGTACGCAATTAGCAGCTTCATGATTTAAATTCTACGTAAAACCTTAGGGAGCAAAAGAGATCAATCTGCAGCATGCTGAACAGCATGATGGCTAGTATGTGTTTAGAATTGGGGAAAATGAAAGGGTAAGTTTCTGTTCCAAATCAAGCAAAAAGGAAACCCTACCAAGATACTGGCTATCCTACTGTGTGGATGTCTCTTGAAGTTGTTATACTTCATATTAATAACTAAGAGCCTGCAGGTCAAAGAGTAATGCCAGGGTTGTAAACTTCAAATCCTTGACTATTTAATTTTGAAGAAACTGTAGAAGGTGCAACAAGAGGCTGAAAGCAGCTCATCCTGGAATAATTCATAGCCTGTGAGAGAGTGCACTCATAGGCTATGAATGAGGAAAATGAGACTAGTGAGAGAGTAACTTAATTACCAGTCATTAGCTCTATCAGTGCCTGTAGTTTTTGCAAAAATTTAGGGGTTTTGGACTGTGAAGAACAGGAATATTAAAATTTCATTTGTATAGGTGCAAGAAAACCATTTCCAGCTCTGTCTTTGGAGTTCTTGCGAAGAAGCTGCCTTGACACAGAGGAAGCTATGAGAAGAATTTCAATCAGTTATGTTTCCAAGTCATGAAAATATGCTATATTTAAAAATGGCTGAGTTAAAATGCAGTTATCAAGCTTTTTATCCATAGCATATTTAGGAGCAGTGCTTTTCAGAGTTGGTCATGGTTCCAGATAAGGCGTTTCTGGTTGGTTTGCTCTGCATGTGGTTTCTTTTTTGTGGTCGTAGGAAGGCTTTATGACTGTTACCTGACACAGCAGAGATCAGAGTTATTGAGCAGTTTTATTTTAATAATAAATGGCTTGGACTAAGGCATAATTCAGATTATTTTTTTAAAGTGCAGTCAATGGGTTGAGATGCATATGGGCTAGTGTAATGCTATACCATTTTTGGTCATACTCCCTTCTGGATTTTAAGAAGGGAAAGAGTTGAGCCCACAGTGTAGAAATTTAGTTCTATAGTAGGACTATATTTCTGTAGTGCAATGCCTCAATTCTGAAAGGAATTTCAGAGCAGCTGTCACAGAAGAAAGATGTATGTTTGCAATGATGTACCAATCAGAATGTGCTATCTGAAATTTGACTCTGTTTTTAATTGCAATGGAACAAAAGATGTTTAAGACCAAATATGCTGTCAGCAGAAGTCACTGCAGCTTCACATAACTGGCTATTCCCAGCTAACTTTATTGTCCCTCCTTTTCTGTCCTTCCGCTAATAGAGAAGTTTGGGAAGAGGTGTTGTCACTGTGCTTTCCTGCTCACAGGTTGTGCTATTGTGTAGACAACTAAGGAATGGGTACCTTGAATCCTGCGGAATACGCTGATCTTTAATTTTTTTTGCAGATAAAGAACATACAGATCTCTGTATGTAATGTAAGATGATTATTATTATTACAGTAATGTAAGAATATGCAGACTGATTAGAGAATAAATAAGTGTACTTCAAGCTCGATGTGTTTATAGTGAAAAGCATGAAGAGAAGTCTAGGAAACCAGGAACTTGAGCAGGTGAAGCTTTTCAGCTACATAGTTCATAGTTCCAGAGTGATACACAGTCCTGTCAGAAGTCCTTACAGTATGACACAGAGCACGTCTCAAATACCTCTTACACATAAGTGTCCTCATTTCTACAAAATCGGAATGTCCTTTGAGACTGTACAGTACAAATGGGTGAGTAGGAAACACATTTCAAATAGATACCAAGATACACCCAGAAGGGTTTGGCCATTTGTCAAAATAAAGTAGTAGTCATCTAAACTAAAACCAATGAATAATTCATCAGTTTCGCACATAAGCTCAAAGGTGTAACAATTTACCTCAGGAACCATAATGTCTTACTCTGGAAAAAAATATGCTGAGGTATAGTCACAAATTCTCACTCTTTGTTCCAATGTAGTGATTCTCTTACAATGTGATAAAAACCCCTGCAAAATTTACTCTAAAAATCCTATGAAACTAAGTCATTGTCCTGGTTTCAGCTGGGATAGAGTTAATTTT